GCCTGGCGAGCGATGGAGCCAGGATCAGGAGCTCGGGTTCTAAGGCAGTGTCGTGTAGTGAGCAGCACACTGATTCATCGTCAGGTGGATCCAGTTCTAGTTCTGACTCTTCTCATTACTAGTGAATAATCTCACCTCTTTGAGCCTCGGTTTCCTCATCTGTAAAACAGTGCTAGTAGGAGTATCCCCTGAGATAATGGCTGAGATGGAGCCAAAAGTGGAGTCTGCTCCCTAGTAAATACTGCCCAGTGTGAGTTTCCTTCCTAGAGTTCTTGGTCCCTGACAAATTGTGATACTTGCTCCATGAGTTCACTGAGTCACTGAGGCCATAGTCTTAGGGATGCTGGGAGGTGTCCCTGCCCATCCCTCTGGTGTTGAGGTCCTTCACGTTCTCACTTCTTCATGGGAATTCTAGCTGCTCCCTCTCATCCTGACCTGCTGCAGGGACCCTCTGGTTCTGACCTCCTACCTGCTCTGCCCTCAGATTCCCCTCTGGCCCTCTCCGGCTGACCACATCATCTGTGGTCTCAGCTCATGGTGCACACCTGGACCAACCACACCCTCCCCAGGGCCCCAGTGGCTAGAGCATCCTGGGAAGGCTTCAGAGCCAGAACCTTCTACAATGGGAAACTTCTGCATCGGTGAAGAGGATGGTAGGGGAGGGCTGGAGCAGAGGTGGGGATAAGAAGGATTCCGACGTATAAGGAGAGCCATTGACAACTTTTGGCTGGCACAGTGACACAGTGTAAAGACGGAGTTGGTGTCAGCACAGACTTGAGTGGGAGAGGCTGGGGCGGGACGTCTAGTTAGGAGGCTGTTGTAATAATTCAAGTATGGGGTAATCAGGGCCTGGGAGTGGTAGCAGAAGAATAGAACAAATGCAAGGGAGGTGAGGACCTGTCAAAGAGCCTGGAACTCTGCATCCAGGGGCAGCCTGTAGAAGGGGCAGAAATGGCTCACAGGGGTAAGAGCAAGGCAGTTAGGAGCCAGAGGAGGCCCAGGTCCTTGGTTCAAAACCAAGCAGAAGGCTGAAAGCTGAAGGCGGGAGCTGGGAGCAGCGTGCTGCCTGTTTGATGACAGCTGAGAATTGACTTTGTGCACCAGCTGGAGTGTCCAAAGGGAGCTGGGAAGATGTGCAGACCTGTCTTTTTATCTAAACCTAAACTTCTTTTCTACCTAACCCAAACTATTTTCTGCTGAAAAGAGTAAGTTTATCTCTAAACCTGATGGAATCAGTCAAGGAACAGAATGAGCAGCCACTCTGTTCTGCCAGTGGAAACAAAGAAAAATAAGGGGCTCTCCCTGCCCTGGGGGACTGTTATCAGAAACAACCAGGAAACAGGTTGTTCCAGCTCAGGGAGGTCAGGGACTGTGACACAGCCCCACCCAGGGCTCTGGGAACCCAGCGGGAAGAGTGACTTCTGTGCTGTGTAGAGAATTTTGATTCTGTGTTGTTTTTCTAATCTTCAGTATTTGGGGATATTAGTGACATTCAGGATATATAAACTCTTAGGCCTCTATGGTGGACAACTGTAATAATTTTTGCCCTGGGTTTCTGTCTTCAGAGGCCTTCTATGTCAGAAAACAGGTTATGTGCAGAGAGAGCAAGGCTCAACTGAGTCCAAACCAAAAAAAAAAACCTGTTGCAGTCAAGTTGATTCCGACTCATAGCAACCCTATAGGACAGAGTAGAACTGCCCCATAGGGAGTCCAAGGAGCGCCTGGTGGATTTGAACTGCTGACCTTTTGGTTAGCAGCCATAGCTCTTAACCACTGCGCCACTAGTGTTTCCCAACTGAGTCTGGGAAACCAAAAACCAAACCTGTTGCTGTTGAGTCAATTCCAACTCATAGCGACCCTATAGGACAGAGTAGAACTGCCCCACAGGGTTTCCAAGGAGCAACTGGTAGATTCAAACTGCTGACCTTTTGGTTAGCAGCTGTAGCTCTTAACCACTATGCCACCAGGGCTCCATTGAGTCCAGAGGAAATATTAATCGGAAGACGTGGTACTCTTGTTGATCCTGGGGAAATTCTTCTTTGCCTGCAAGAAGTGTGGCTGTGGGCCGAGGGGACGCCTTCGGCCTGTTGCACTGTGGCCAGGCGCAGATACAGGTCTTCGTGGGATGCCCACGGGAATGAAGGGGTGAGAGCAGCCTGCCAGAGAAGAGGCTGGAGGGCACCAGGAATGAGTGCCCTGGAAGCTGGGACACACACATGCTCGTAGAGAGCCAGGGGGGACAGTGGGGGAACATGCAGGGCGATGCAATGTTGACACGGTCACACAGCCAATAGAGACAGGCGAGTGCATGGCGTGATCTGCCCTCCTGTGTATCTAATGCTTCTTCCGCAGTTCTTGACTGCAGCAGACCAGTTGGGCGCAGGCCCCCCACTAGATCTCGGCTGCCAGGCTAGATAACCTGGGCATTCCAGTGACCTGGTGGTGGGTATGTGGGGGGTGTGTGTGGGGGGGTGATTAGTGCCAGAAGAGAGATGTTCTCAGTGTGATAAATTAGGTGGTGAAATGCGTGAAACTGTCAATCCCCCTCTGTTTCAGGCTGGTTGATGCTGGATTTGCTTTTGTACATTTATATGGAAATGCATCTTTGCTGTGGTTGGTAATTTTCTACTTGAATAACTTCAGGGCAGGCCCACTTGGAAATTTAATTATCCTTACACGGGAGAGCTTTGCTCACGTTCAGTGCTTGGAGGAGTGGATGACTCCAGACATCTCGTGACACTTACCATAGGCACCATGGCTCCAGTATATTGCTATTTTGTAGAATAACGTTCTTTTGATGGTCCAGGGACCAAGACAACTGATCCCAAACATGTCCCGTGATAAATCGTGTGGCAGAGAAATTTCTCATTTCCTGGATACCTAACTAGAGGTTTTGAAGCCAGACCCTGATTTTAGCAACCCTGATTCATTAGCTCTACAGTGCTTTTTCGTGAAGGCCCAAACTAAATATAAAAACTCAACTGCGGGTTCATTATATGCTAGAGGCTGGATGGTCAGTAAGGAATTGATCATTGTGCTCCAAGTCATGGTGACAGAGTCCTGGGGGAAATTGTGAATTGAAGCCACTCAGAACCAGCCTTTTCAAAGCCAGACCCAGTACAGGAATAGAAAGTATGGCTGCTTAGGGTGTGATGCGCAAAAGGCTCATAGGCTTCCTGGGTTCAGCAGAAAAGAGAGCTATGATTGATTAGCAATGTCTGCTCTGAGCTCAGGAGGGGGAATGGTGGCCCAAGTGCCACGTGTTTGTCATCCAATCATCTCCGAGATACCTGCCAGGTGCTGGGTGCTGTGCTGGGTGCTGAGTGCTGTGCTGGGTGCTTTCTTGGATATCCTCTCAATTCACCCTCCCAGCAACTCTAGAAGTAGGTGCTGATGCTCTCTCCCAGGGACAATTACAAACAGATTTTAATATATATGGAAATGAAACACCTGGAAGAAAAATATCAGAATGTTCATAATGGTTTTCAATGGGTGGTGAGATTATGGATGGATTTGATTGTTTTTCTTTATGCTTGTCTGTATTTTTCTACAATGACACAAATTCCTTTTTCAAGCATGCGTAAATTATATGTGCTGTGGTGAGGTGTATTTTTTTAATATTATATATGTGGAGGTTTGGTGACATGTTTTTTCACTTAATGAATTCACCAGGAATTTTAATTATTCCTCCCTGACATAATTTTTAATAGCTTTTTACGGGAATTTAAATCTTTTGCTCCATCAAGGCTGAAAGATTTGGGCAAGAACCTCTCAATTTCTAATACTGGACAGACCTTGACTTTTTCTGAAAGGATGGGCAAATGATGACAAGTCACCAGAAGTTGGAAAGACACAACAGCCCAAGAGACCCTTCTGAGGATCAGAGAAACATCTTCTTATGAGATAGTGTTACAACAAGAAATTTTAGAAATTGTCAAATAACTTCCAAGAAGACTAAAAAAAGACGCAGTTTCTATAAAATAAGAATGGACACTTACAAAGAAGGGATTGGCTGGCATCTGGAAAGATTCCAGGGGATGCACAGCTTCCCAGCTGGGGGAAGGAGATAATGAGGGAGAACATGTGGGGTACCTGGCCCAGTACCTGACACACAGGTACTCAAAACATGTTGTTAGAATTTTTTTTAATTTAAATTTTAAAAATTTTCTTAGTACCTATGTACACACACACACACACACACACACACACACACACACACACACCCTATTTCTTCATGTTTTAATACTTTAGTTCACTAGGAGTTATGCTAAGTATTTTCTCTTTAACCTTTACATGTTGCAGTTCTTCCAAGGCTGTATCTTTCTCCCCTTCCATGTAGAACTCGTGGGTACAAATGAACCCTGCACTGGCCGTGGGAGTTGCCGAGCCAGCTGAGAGCCAGGGCGGCTGTCATTTGCGCGTGCTGGTTCCACTCTGATTGCTTTATTTCTGTGGGGGGAGCCTTTGTAGTCAGCATGTTGGAGCTGGAATGGCTCCATCTGGCTCACAGCCAAGGGGGGGATGGAGAATTCCTTTAGACGAAGGCAGGCGGACCATCAAAGTCACTGCTTCCAAGTACAGACATTTCAGGCTGAGGACCCTGGGCAGGGATCACCCTGTCAGTTTTTGGCACCGGTGGGCACACTTTATGAGAGCCAGCTATAGAAACACCCAAAGGCATAGACCAGAAAGCCAGGGGCGCCCTGCCGCGTAACTAAAAGGGGTCCTGGTCTTTCTAGATGTGAGCACCCCATGGTGCCCATTTTCAGAGGAGTTGGTTTGTTAGATGGTGCCGTGCACCTGAGAGGAAAGGAGACGGAGCCGGGAGTGCCCGGCCAATCTGGGCATTCCACATGCATTCCCATTTCATCTTCAGAGACCTCTGTGATGCTGGATCATTGCTCCTGATTTACAGATAAGGCCTCTGAGGCCCTGATTGACTTTCTCAAATGTCAGAGGTAGGGTTCATACCCAGGTGGGGTTCATTTTCCAAGCTGGCCTCTTTTCCATTACTTCCGGTTCCTCTGATCCCTTTCCATCCAACCTTAGGACACGAGCTTGTGGTCCACAGTGATGTTTTTCCACCGTACTGTTGGTCTGTGAGAGGAAGATGAAGTGAAGGGAGTTGATTTAACACAGTGTGTTAAAGCCAGACAGAGAGGATAGATCTATCGAGGGACAGAGAGAGAGAAAGCTATATAGATTTGAACTCAGTGAATGGCTTCTAGGGGCAGAATGATGCATATTAAAGGAGAAGGTCCCCTACTCCTTCTTCCCACTGAGGACAGATAAAAGTAAATAGGATTATTGACAGCATAGAACATTTTCATTAAGGTGAGGAAGAAAGTCTTGGCCTCAAGAGTTCCTGGTTGGGATAATTGCCCACATTGGTATTTGAATGCCCTGCTTCCTCATCCTGGAGGAGGCTAGAGGGTGGCGTAATCAAGGAACTTATGCAACAGCATAACATATGTAAAGCTCCTAGCCCAATAAACAAGAATCTCTCTCCTTTTGTATATTGGGGTAGCTAAGAGATGCACAGACACTTCCAGTAGAAACACAGAAATAACTAACTGCAACTATGGAGAATGATCAGGTAATGAAATTTGAACTGTGAGTAGGCCATGGTCGCCCTGGAGGACTGCAGATTCTTCTCAGAGGCCTTTAAAATTCATGAATGGCTGGAAGACAATAAAGGAAAGAGGGAAGGAAGGGAGAGAGGCAGGGAGGGAGGGAGGAAAAGAGGGAGGAAGGGGGTGGCTCTGTAGTGCCTGGGGCAGGGCGGGTGTACAGCATAAACTCTGAGACTCTTCTAGGATTCCGATCTTTAAAATGATCACAACGACAGCTCATAATGAAGTGTGGGGAATCTGGGAGTAAGTCTCAGTAGTTTTTGCTTTTGCTCGTCTTCTATTTGTGAGCACTGTGGTGTGGGAAGGTGTTTGCACCATCAACAGGAAGTGGAGGAAGGGGCCTCACAAGATGCTGTCTGCCATGTTTGAAGCTTGCACTTTGGGCACATGGCCCAAGGCGTGCTGGGATCTCAGAGTGCTCTCCAGTAGGGAAGGGGACAGGAGGGTGGTGTGAAGGACCAGGGGTCTCCCCCAGATGTAGCCCCAGTAAGCCTGGGGTCACACTGGAGTAGGAGGCAGTGTTGCCATTCATGTGGTGGGACTGAGAGGAAAGTGGTGGGTAGGGAGGCTGTACAGGAGAAAGAGGTCAGGCCTCTAGACCAGGGATGGTCATAGCAGGAAGTAGGCAGGGGGCAGAGTGGGATGTGGGGGGTGAACTGGGGCACCGAACTAGGCCAGGCGTTGGATCTGGGTTCAGAAGGCTTTGGGGAGGGCTGTGTGTTATTGCGATAATAGGAAGATCAAGGAATTGTTTTCTGTTGTAACCTCCTTGAGGGCGGTGGACTTATTCATCTTTGGGTCCCTAGCATCTAGCCTAACACTTGACACATAATAAGTTGAGTAAATCACTGATGATGAATGACTGAAGAATGACTCATAAATTTATGTGTGAATTGCAGAACAGAAGCTTAACTTCACCAGGTAATGTCCAATTTGGGGGCTACTGATGACTTCTGTAAAGGAGCCCTGGTGGCCCAGTGGTTAAGTGCTCAGCTGCTAACTGAAAGGTCAGCAGTTCAAACTCACCAGCTGTTCCATGTTGCTATAAGGATCACAGCCTTTAAAACCCTACGGGGCAGTTCTGCTCTGTCCTACAGGGTCACTGTGAGTTGGAATTGACTCAATGGCAACGAGTGGACTAGCTTCTGTAAAGACTATCCCCCAAAGAAGCCATTTGCCATCCTTCACCTCCCGCTCAGGAACACAAAGAGTCCCCATCTCCCTCCCCCAGGAAGTCATCCAGGGGAGAATTATCCAAGCAAGAGGGAAAAGTTTGTGTATGGTTAAGAAAGATGGCGCTGAAGTCAGACTTTCTACCTTCAAAGCCTGGCATGTGTGTGATTTTGGCAAACTAGTCACCATCTCTGTGCCCATTTCCTAATTTGTAAAATGGCATATGATAGTACTTAATGCTTCAGAACTTGCCACAGTGCCTGGTGTATTGAGCTCAGGTATATTGAGCACTCACTAGCTGCTGGGCAGTAGGCTCAGTGTTTCCCTCATTATTTACACAATCCTCATAACTCTTGAGGTGGGTGCTGTTATTAATATCCATTTTACAGATAAGGGAACTGAGACACAGAGAGGCTGAGTCACTTGTCCAAGGCATCCAGCTATTGAGTGACTAGGTCCAGGATTCAAATATAGAATCTGATTACCATTGGGTTGGGTTTTCAGAGACGAGTAGCCTAAATCCCATTGTGTTCCCTGATCTCAGATTTCCCTTGTAGTCATAGACTTGTCTCTACCTTGTCGAATCCTCGCCCAGAACCCACCCCTGGAGGACATAACAATCCCTTCTTTGTCTGCACGGGGGCTCTGCAGTCCTGCTTCTCTTACCCACACAGCTAAGTTTTGTTCTCTGTGCTCACATGGTCTCCTCTTGGCCCAGCCAGATTCCTCAGCAGCCCCCGAGTCCACCAAGGCCTCCCTCTCATCTTTTATGGCTCCTCCTTGCCTTGAACACCATTTTCAGGTCCTCCTGACCTGTTCTAATTCCACGCCTCCTTTGGGCCCTATAGGAGTTCTGACCTCACAATTGAAGCACTTGTGACAACCGGCTTCAGTTGCAGACAACAGAAGCCACTTAGCCAGGCAAAATGAAAGGGATTTAATATGGGTAGTTAAACCAGTTGCTGTCAAGTCGATTCTGACTCATGACAACCACAAGTGCTCCATAGGGTTTTCAACGGCTGATTTTTCGGGGGCAGATCGAAAGGCCTTTCTTTCAAGGTGCCTCTGGGTGAGTGAACTCAAATCTCCAACCTTTCGTTAGCAACCGAATGCGTTTGTACCACCCAGTGACTCTAGTATGGGGAGTTAGATGCTTTCAGAATAGTTGGGGGGTCTGCAAGAGTGGTCTGTAGGCCTCCAGGAATGCTCCCTTGACTATCCCTGCCCAAAGATGTCCTTCCCTTCTCTGAGCCCCTCCCTCCCTTCCTTCCTTTCAGCATTTATGGAGTGCTAGCTGCTAGGAACAGGATACCAGGATGAATTAATATAACAGAGTCCCTGCCCTCAAAGAACTTATGATCTGCTTACAGTAGATGATGATAAAGACTAGATGAAAGAGGTGTGAATGAAGTGTTACAGGGCCACAGGAGGGAACCACTAACTCAGTCTAGGGGAAGGACTTCCTCGTTCATAGAGGGGAAGGCACTGAGCTGGGCTGAAGGCTGAGGGAGTTCTTCCAGGCTGAGAGTAGAGCAGGTGCCAAGTCATGGTGGTGGACAGGTGGAGGTCGAGTACACAAATGTCCTGCTTTGTGATCAGCTTACAGGTGGGAGAGGTGGAGGGCTGGGGCAGGAGACCAGAGGATAAGCTGGTCAGGGCAAGGGGTCTTTGGGGCATGATCTGACCACGCGCGGTGACATGATCACATGGCACCTTCCTTTTATGACTTAACTACAGAGTGGTCAAGAGTGCAGGCTTCAGAGCCAAGCTAGCTGGCTCCATTCTGCTTCTGCCCCTACTAGCTGTGTGGTCTCAGGCAAGCCATTTTACTCTTTGGACCTCACTTTTCTCATCTGTAAAATGGGGAAAATTATAGTCCCCCCTCAGGAGGTTGTTGTGAGGCTGAAATGAGTTACTGCGTCACACATTTAGACCAGTATCTGGCCGAAGTAAGTGTTCACTGCTAGCCCTGACTATTATATAATGCCAAACTGCACCAAGCTCTGGGCTGGGTTATTTTCCATAAATTCTCTCAATCAGTCCTCACAAAGACCCTGTGAGACAGGCATTATTGATGTGTTTTACAAAGGAGAAGTCTATTTCTGGTTCCTCTGTGAAATGCCAAGCCCCTTTCCATGGGTTGTTCTAATTCCGTCTCCCCGAGCGCTGTTCATGCTGCGGAGGCCAGCCAGAGACTCGGAGGAATCAAAGTCCTCCTGGAACTTTCAAGAGGAGTGGAAGAGGAGTTAAATTTGGACTCCAGCAGAGCCCATAATGCGTCTGCTTTAGTTATCGGAAAGGGATCCAACTCACCCTCACCATCCCACACGCGGCCGATGACAGACATGCTGTGTGAATTTTTAAAGTCATACAATTTGGCAATAAGGAGTTGAGTAAATGCAAGGATGAGACAGGCGACCCAGCTGAGTGAGTGGGATGCTTTGGGTGGGAATAAGGGAGAAGTAATAACCACATACTCCCCTCAAAGGGGCAGGCGGGCACCCCTGCCCCCTCATCTGATGCCATCAGAAGGGTGTGTGGGGCGAGGCCCATGGGTGGTCACACAGTGTCCCCACTCCACAGCCTGAGTTGCCATCTAATGGCAGGAACGTACACTGTTTCCCTTCAACCGTACGTTTCTTCCAACAAGCCTCAGTTTTGCAAGTTTTGCCCAATAAAATGAGCAGAAAACTTCTTTAGTTCTTCTATTAATGAAGGCTGGTGTTGCTCAGGAAAGGTCAGGCAGGCAGGAACTGACGTTCACCATGCTAGGTGCTGTGCGGATGGCGGCTCGTTTCACACTCTTGCAGCCTCCCTCGGGGGGCAGGCATTCTTACCCCCACACTACAGATGCGCAGACCTGTCGTGGTTCCAGCCACATCCAGAGTCCTGTAGGACTCTCCAGTGGAGGAGAAGGGTTTTCATCTCAGCACTGGTCTGTCCTTACCGGCATTGGGGCTGTGGTGTGTGCCCACACAACTCTCTGGTGTCCGTGCACGTACTGGGCCAGGTGGCTGTGACCGTGAATGGACCCCTCATTATTGCGGGGATGAGCAGGGGTGTGGATGGTTGCAAAGGCTGAAAGCCTTCAGTACACCCCACGTGCATGGTCTTGTTTCATCTCCAAGCCCCTATGAGGAAGCACCCATGCCCCACTGCACCCGGGGGACCGAGGCACACAGACCCAGGAACCAGCTCATGCAGCACCTCCAGACTGCCAGTGCCGCCTCCCTCTCCCTCCACACGCTGCAAGCCCATCTGTGCCACTAAGGAAAACGGTTTCATAGCCAATAACTATGGGGCTTTCTCCGTGGCAGCCAAGACCCGAGACATTTGATACACGCTGTCTCGTTAAACCTCACAGTGCCCTCTAAGGGCAGTGGTGTTATGATCATCCCCGTTTTACAGGTGAAGAAACTGAGACCCAGAGAGGTTAAGTAACTTAAACAATGCATAAGCAAAGGAGTAAAGGGAGAATGAGTCTTTTGAAGAAGGGGAAATCCGCTTCATCAGACTGGGGCATGAATGCGCTGGCCCCAGCTTAGAAATTCTGAGGAGCTCTGCAGCGGGCTGTTCTCCAGGGCCACTTCTGCTTTCCTCGGGTGCCAGGCGGGCTTCTGATCTGGTGCTGGCCCCTGACAGTCATGCCTTCTCCCAGAAGGACTGGCTCCGACTGCTGCAGCCGGTAAAGATGTTCCAGGAAAAAGATCTTAGCCAGCTCTTCTGCAACCCAGTTTCTGCCACTGTGGTGTTGCTTTGTTTGCATTAATGGCTCTGCTAATTCTCCGCT